CCCCCCCCACAGACACTCCTCTCCTGCAGCCGACTCTGTTCATTATCTGACCCCCTTGCCTGAGCACAGTCTCGCAGGCGGGCGCTCGGGGGGCTTTGTTCTGTGTCTCTGGGGTCTCGCAGGGCGCAAGGAGGTCATGCTCTAGTTTTTTCTTTTTCTTTTTTTTTTGAATGGGTGAAGCCACTGCAGAGACTAAAAGCAGGAGAGAAAGGGGAGAAAGGAGCGGGGAGTCGAGAGCAAGGGAACTCCAGGGCTGAGGTTTGCAGCTAGTTTAGGAAGAGGAGACTCCAGGCTTCAAAACGCAGAGGGCTGGCTCTGGAGATGACGGTGGCCCCGAAAGTCGGGAACTGACCCAATTTCCCCTCCAGCTCTGGCTTCCCGGTGCGCATTGACGGCTTTGCAGAGGGCAGCCCTCTCCTGCAAGGCCAGACGAGGGGACTCAGGAGACCAGGAAGGGGACCGAGGACCCCTGGGGTGGAGGAGGGGAGCTTGGCCCGAGGGGTGGCACAGGGAGTGCCAGCCGGGCTCTGGGCCTTGGCCGAAGACTGGGCACGGTCCTTGGCTCCAGCTGGACTGGGTTCAGCTGTCCTGCCATCTGCCAGAGACGCGATCTAGGCTGGTGGTGCCCTGCGCCTGCACCGGGCAGGGGTCCGCTCCTGGAGCAGGTGAGGCGGGCTGGGCTGTGGAGAACTTAAAGAGACGAACAGCCCAAAGTCAGCCTGCTTTTATTCTCTGCGGCACTGGCCATTGGAGGCTGTGGGTCAGCGACCACCCCTCCTGCGCCTCACGCCACTGACCTGGCCTCCACCTCTCACTGTTCTACCGACCCCCGTGGAGTTATACCCACTTCACAGTATTTCGGCTGCAGAGTGAAAATGTTGGGGTGTGGCAGCTCTGCTGTCATTTCTGTTTCCTCCTCTCCCCTCACCCCCTTCCCCTTTCCCTCTGCCCATTCCTCTCTGGCACAAAACTCCCTTCACTTCTAAGCAGTCGCCCCTGCTCCCACCAGCGCCCCACCTCCTTCCCGCACTCTGTGCCCCGTGGGGGCCTGGGGCCCGCCCCTCCCCGCCCCTCCCCGCTGCAACTTCCTTCAGCCTTCGGCATCACCCCCAGGCTGGGTGGGGCGGCTGGGGCCAGTGAAGCACAGCCCCATTCTGGGATGAGCTGTCCCGCCTTCCCTTGATAGTGCTGAGGCATAATTTCGCCAGATGATGCATAACACCAGCCTCAGCCATTTTTAGGGGGTGGCAGGTGGGGAGGGGGTGGGGTTGCCCTGGAAACGCTGGGTGGCGGTTTTGCTGTGATGCCAGTTTCCTTCTGTCGTCAGCCGGCCTCCGTGTAATCCCCGGGTCTGCGGGCTGGTCCAGCCTGGCGCCCGCCCGCCGCTGAGGTGACGGGCTGCTGGCTCATCGGGATGCTATCTGCGAGTGGGGAGGATGGAGAACTGCTGAGCAGGGCAGTGGGCGCGGGAGGGCGGGGGTGGGCGCGGCCGTCCCGGCTGGCTAAGCGAGGCCTGTGAACCCGGGGCACGGTGTGGGTTCGCGTGTGAGCCTGCTCCTGTTGGCGTGGGAGGGGACAGGGTGACAGGGAAATCCCAGGTGCCGGGAAGCCTCTGCTAAAAGCCGCCTTCTCCTGAAAGTTTCTGTTTTGCCCTGGGACAAGTTTGTGCTAGAAAGAGGTGTTCACAGGAGGCCTTCCTGCTGAGACCTGCCTGCCGGGCTGGAGCGGAGGAGTCCTGGGGGGTGGGGGGCGGCGCAGAGAGGCTGTGTGCCCCCCCCAGGCCCTGTGCCCCTTCGCCTCTGAGCATGACACTTCGGGGGCCTCTAGACTCCTCAGGAGGTGTAAAGTGGCCTTTCCGTCGGGGCTCTGGCCCCGCTTCCGGACAGGATGATTTTTCCAAGTTTAACCCCAGTCCCTCCTCTCTCCCACACAGCTGTCCCTGTCTGGAGTGATAAGTGTACTGGTTGTTTTGCTCCCCCAAACCTTCATCAGGGGCTGAAGTGTTCCCGGCCTTGCTGGCTGTGGGGTGCAGTCTTCTTCCACCTATCAGACTCGATCCAAGCTCGCTCTTCTCTGCTCCCAGTTTCTGTCGAGTTTCTCCCCAGTCCCAGCCAGGGGTCGGGGTGGGGGGTGCAGCGTGGGGTCCTGTGACTAGAGGTGGGGGTGGGGGGAGGAAGTGCTGGGGTGAGATGAGGGTCTCTGGGGGCAGAGACAAAGGGTGGTGGGCAGGAGAGGCCATGTGGGGAGCAGAGGACTAGGAAATGGGAGCGATTTGGGGGAGACAGACACAGAAACCAGGAGCTCCGCTGGCGTCCCGCCGCCTTCCCCAGGCTTCTCGGGGCAGTTCCACACCTGTCCTCACAGGGGTGCTCACAGGGGACCTGGGTTTGGATTTCCCAGTGGAATTCACCGGGGCCCTGGCTTTCTGCACTAGGCAGGCCCCATGGCCAGGGCAGGGGCTGGGGCCAAACCTCCCTGTCCTGCTAACACCCGGCGTGGGGCTGCCCAGGAGGGAAGCTCAGATATTTGCAAAGGTGAGTGGAACGCGACTGGCCAGGCCACCTCCAGGAGGCCCTTTGTCCTGCTTGCCTGAGCCCTCTCCTCTCCCGGGCACTGAGGGGACCCCTTGGAGGAAGTTCTGGAGGGCGCGTGCCCGGCTCTGAGCTCCCTTCCGGCCTGAGCCGGGTGCCCCGTTACTGGGCGGAGTGGTGCCTTGTGGATGGCTCCTGACAGCCTCCCTGCCCCACCAGACCCGCTCAGGGGCCTGGCCACGCTGGGAAGCCCCGAGCTGGCCGGCGGGCTGGAGCCCCCAGGACGAGTGTGGGGGAATTTTCTCCCTCGTTCTGGTGGACGTCAGGGAGTCTCTGTGGCCCAGAGGGGGGCGGTCGATTGGCACCTGTCTCTGCGGACACGGGGCCAGTGCCCCTGTAGTTTGAGAGCTTTGAGCTATTAATCAGCAAGTTTAGCTGGCCCCAGGCCGCCTTGCCAGAGCTTCCAGTGGGAAGAGGCTCTGAGGCCTTTTGTCCCTCCCCTCTTCCCTGGGCCACAGGCTCTGGCTCACGCCTGCCCACGGCCTCTGCCCCTGACTAAGTGTGTTGACCTCAGGCTCCTGGCCAGCTTGCCTGCCCCTTCTCTGGAGGACTTCTGGGAGTCCGTGACAGGGGGTCCCCCTCGACAGCCATCCCCATATCTGCCTTCTTCTGTCCCAGGTCCGTGTTCCCTGGCTAGCTATAACCTCCAGAAGTGGGGACTGGGGTCAGGGCCCCTTTCAGAGAGGTCAGCTTCATGGAGATAGAGTTCACATACTACACAACACGCTCACGGGACATGTGCAATGTGGCGGTTTACACCCACAGGTGCGTGCAGCCATCGCCACAGTCAGTGTTAGAAGATTTTCATCGCCTCACAGAGAACTTTTCGTGGTCTTCCTTAGATATCACCTGCCACTGCCATCTTTCCCTCCTCCACCCCTCAGTGGCCACCATGACTTTTTGTCCCTCTAGATGTCTTATTCTGAACTGTCATGAATAAAATAACATGACATTCAGCTCCTTTTACTTGCCATAATGTTTTTGAGATTCAGCCACTGTAGCATGTAATAGTCCCTCACGCCTTTTCATGACTGTATAGTATTCCACCACATGGCTAGGCCACATTTTGTTTGCCCATTCACTTGATGATGAGCATTGGGTTGTTCCTACCTTTCGCCTGTTGGGAGTAGTGCTGCTACAAATGTTCGCATACACGTTTTGTGTGGCCATGTATTTCACCTCTTGTGGGGCTAATGCAGGAGTGAACTAGCTAGATCCTGTGGTCAGTCTGCTGTTTCCAGAGGGGCTGTGGGTTCTGTGTCTCTGAGCCTGCTGGGTGAGTCACCCTGTCTGGGTCTGTCTGGTTCACTGTATCACCAGCTCAGGCGTGGCCTGACCCATAGCTGGGGCTTGACATGTTCATTAGTGTTGAATGAAGAGTGACTGGCCAGGTCCTTCTGAGCGTGCCACTCATGGGTCTGTAACTCTAGACAGCTGCTGAATCTGTTTCCACAGCCTTTTCTGGGATCCTCTTTCTGGCCCCCTGTCCAGGCCTAATCATTCATTGCTTTCCTTTATTGCTCCCATTGTCTTTGACCATTGTGATTTATGACTCTTTAGGGGGGCAGCGAGCCCCTCAGGATTAGGATATATGCCCCGTAGGGACTGAGGGAGGGGAATGGCCCAGCGTTCGGGAGCAAGGTGTCACAGGGCAGTGAGTGGTGGGGGATTGCCGTGGCTCAGCGAAGCACAGGGGGAAGACTGGGGCCTTGCAGAGGCAGACTGCTGACACAGAATTGCAGCCCCATGTCTGGGGGTGCCCTAACAGGCAGAGGAGACTGGCATCGGCTGACGGGCAGTGCCACTTCCCTGCTTCCCCAGAACCCGGTTCCTCGTCCGGCATGGGGAAGAGAGCGCGGGGTCTGGATGCTCTAAGTGCAGGCAGGACAGTGACCTAGACTTTCTCCGCGGCCTGTGCGGAGACCACGTGTCGAGGCTTTGGGCGTGGGACCGGGTCTTAAGGGCGGTTTGTTTGGGTCAGCATTGACTCCACAGGCTGCCTGCCGATCATTCTATGCACCTCCCCCATTTGTATTACAGCCTGTATTTCCATGTCCATGCCCTTGGTGGGTACCCCCTCTTACCGCACCCCACAGAGCAAGGCGAATAATCCCGATTCCTGTAGCGTGTGTATAGTGAGCAGTTTATTGGAAGCAGACAGCCGAGGCTCCGGGCAGAGACTGGCTGCTCGGGTGGGCCGGGCTAATGCAGGAGGCAGGGCTGGGCCGGAGACTGGGGGGGTGTGGTTGGGGGGGGAGGGGTGTCCACTCAGCATCTCCTTGCTGAGATCTCTTCTGGGGGACAGCCCCCCAGCACTGACGCTAGGAAACACATTCATGTCAGACCCAAAGCCCCAGGGACTGCGGGGAGAGTGAGCGGGAAGGGGAGATTATGTACAGAGGTAGGGACGGGGCGGGCGGGCGCGCTGGATTCCACTGGGCAGTCGCGTCAACTCTTGACGCCCCTCTGTCCAGCACTTAACCCAAGAACGCTCGCCTTTGTTTTGGGCATCTGTCCACCAACAGCGGCTGATAGGAGTTCAGGAAGAAGACGTATAGCGTAGTATGAGTTCAACACACCTGAGCAGGTAAATCCACGGCCCAGAGACTGCTTTATTCTGTGTGCTGGCGGAGGGAGCCGCAGGCAGGCCCTGCGTTCCCCAGGAGCCCTGACACTAGCTTCTGGGGCTCAGACATGGACTGGGGGTATCGCCTTCTGACTTTTGCCGTAGCGCATGTTTTAGGTGATGTTCAAAGAAATTCCCCTTTCTGAGGTGCAGGAGAGCCAGAGGTACAGGAGGTGGGAAACTCCAGGGGTGGGAGGAGCAGCCCTCCACGGGACAACCCACCAAGCAGAGCCTCGAGGTGCCCACAGCGCCGTCTCGTCCGTGCCCACGGTCACTCCCCCGGCACACAGGGCCCCGCGCGTCAGTAGCTCAGGGACACGGGCGAGGCGCTGCCCTCCTGGACATCTTGTGTCCACTCCGGGGCCCACTCAGGCTCCGCACGCAGCTAAGTGAAAGGTGACTCAGAGATAAGGAAGGGCCTGTGAGGCCGCCCCAGAGAAGACGGGGGGGACCTGCCATGCGAACAGGAAGGTGGGGGTTGGAGGAGTCGTGTCTTCAGCCCTGTGGGGTGCCGATGGGGCTGGGCTGGTGCCCTTGTCCTGGGCCTGCAGCCTCTGGACTGGTGCTAACATTTGTGGCAGGTGGGGCCCCCGCCGGTGCCCAGCTTCATGCCGGAGCTCCGGCCGCCCCCACAGCCCAGCAGCCCCTGCGACTCCCAGGGGAGGCACAGTTCTCCGGTGCCCACCACGCTGCAGCTCCCGCTGCTCTTGACAACGCCGGTGCCCCCCGGGCAGTACTCGGCCCGCAGCATGGGCGTGCTGACCACGCACGGCTCATACACGATGGCTCCTTTGGAGCTGCTCACGGCTGTGGGCACAGGAAGGGCGTTCAGGGCCTCGCGGTGCACAGATGTAAGGCGTCTGTCATGTGCCCCGCCCCCTGCCCTCACCCCTGGGGCACCCCGCCCCAGCGCCCAGACACAGGCAGTGCGTTGAGGCCATGTGTTTTCACTCTCTCTAGAGACCACGGGCCAGGCCAGGCCCCATTTCTGCGCCTCTCTCTTGCACCCCACTTGTCATGCCCCTCTCTGGAGAACCTGCTTCAAGTCCTCCTCCCTGGAGTGGCCCCCTTGTCAGTGGGGCTCCTTGCAGTTTCTGGGCCCTGAGGCCTGGGGGCCCGGCTGCGTGTCTGATTCTAATTCTGCCTTCCAAGGACGCGGCTGGGCTGGGAGAGAGTGTCTCCACAGACCGGGGGCCCAGGGGCCTGAAGCCCTCCTCCGGGTCGGGAGGCAAGCCGAGGTCTGGGCTGGCGCCGTGGGGCCTGTCTATGTTGGGTTGACCAGCTCCCAGGACCCCAGGAGAAAGCACATCTACTCACAGATATTCACAGGCCCGATGCCTTCACACAGCCTGGGGAGAGGAAAAAGAAGACACAAGGTAGCCACATGCAGAGACGGGGCTGCTGAAATGCACAGCTCCCCTTCCTGCTCGCCCTGGGACCCGGTTTAGGAGCGGCCCTGCGGGTTCCCGCTGTGCTGGACGGGAGGTGACTGCGGGCTGGGCAAGTCCCAGCGAGCTGGTGCCCACACCTGTGCCAGGCTCCCCAGTGCCCACCTGTGCTCCTCGCCCTCCAGCAGGCGCCTGTAGGTGGCGATCTCGATGTCCAGGCCCAGCTTGGAGTTCATCACCTCCTGGTACTCCTTGAGCAGGCAGGCCATGTCCTGTTTGGCCTTCTGCAGGGCCTCCTCCAGCCCGGCCAGCTTGCACTTGGCGTCGCTGAGGGCTGCCTCGCCCTGCTGCTCGGCTTCAGCTATGGCTCCCTCCAGCTTGCAGCGCTGGGAGAGGACACAGAGGGGTGTTACTGGGGCCCCCTGGAGCCCCAGGCTGGACTCAGAAGAACAGAGATCATGCTTACTACAACATAATGGATAAATATATACCGGTTTCTGCCCCAGTCCCAAGTCCTAAGACCCTGGCGTTTCCTGAGAGATGGGGCCAGTAGGATTATCTTCTGTCCTAGTAATTGGTGCAGGTCCCAGTTTCTACACAGCCTCCCCAACCCCTTGGTGTTCTCTGCTGATAGCCATTTCTCTTGTTCTAATACGGCAGATCTGGGGATTAGTCACTAGAAAGACCAAGCCATGATTAGAAGCTTGGCGTGAGCACCCCACCTCCCATTCACCAGGTCGGAGAGGGTCGGAAATGTAGCTAACGACGCCACGTGATGCCTCTGTGATGAAGCTTCCAGAAAGCCTCCAAAAGCACTGCTTTGGGGGAGGTTGGTAAACACGGGGAGGAGTGGGGTGCCAGCGCCCTCCCACACCCCTCGCCCGCGGCCCTTCCCTCCGGCGGCTCCTCCGAAGATTTTTGGTTTAAACTGGCAACAGTAAGCGAACTGTTTCCTGAGTTCTGTGAGTGGCTCTAGCAGATTCACGGAGTCTGAGACGGGCTCTCGGGCGTGGTGCTAACGCAGTGGGCAGAAGCCTCTGTGGCAGCCTGGCCCTGGGTCTGGCCCTGGACTGGGGCCTGCTGGGGCCTGCTGGCGACCGAGCGCCCAGCTGTGGGGTCCAGTGCGCTCTCCGGGTAGTAGTGTGAGGACTGAGCTCAGCTGCAGGCCCGGGAGGTGTCGCAGATCTGCCTGGTGTGAGAAGCCCCCCCAGCGCTCACTCGCAAGGGGTCGCAAGAGCTGTGCGGTGGCGCTGTGTGAGGGTAACGGAAAAACAGAGGAGGGCACACTGTCCCCACACGGGGCTTCAGGTCTCTTTTCACCCTGGGACTGTCCCTCTGGGCTTGGGGGCCAAAGCTCCTGCTGTCACCCCTCGAAGGATCGTGTGTCCTCTTAGATCAGCTCGGCCATTTCTTAGGGGCTCTCCAGAGTCACCTTGAGTTCCAGGACCACGAAGGACAGTCTCTGGCGGAAAGGACCCTGCGGACATCGTGGCTAGCTCCCTTCTAAGGAGGCTCCTCCCTACCCTCCTTGACAAGAGGCCGCGGGGGTGGCCGCAGGGGCCGCGCCATGTCCCGAGCTGGCCTTCCTGCTGTCAGCAGGCCCTGCCGTAGCACAGCTTTGCTGTCTCGGGACGGCACGAGTAACCCCTCCCCCGCCCCCCCTCCCCCGTGGTGCCGGAAGGGCGGGGGACCCCGCACTCAGACAGTGAGTGGCTCCGAGCAAGGTCTCACCTGGGCTTTGACATTCTCAATCTCTTGCTGTAGTCTCTGGATCAGCTTGTTCATCTCCAGGATCTCGTTCTTGCGGTTCCGGAGGTTGTCACAGTGATTCCCGGCTGTCATCCTCAGCTCCTCATACTGCCGACCGTGGACAGATCAGGACTCCCGGCCCCCACCTCCGGGCACTTCCTGCCCACGACTTCCGGTGCGGCACCCTCCGGACCTCTGTACTTGTCCTGCTCCCGTCCCCTTCCTATTTCTGGCCGACCGGGGGCTTTGTGGGCTGCTCGTCATTGCCACCACACCGGTCTCATCCTTTTCGGCCTGAGGGTCACCAAGGCTCCCCTCCTTTTCATGGAGGGGTTTCTGTGCTCCCCCTCGGGCCCCTAACAGAGCTAGGACTGCAGACAGACCCTGCCTGCCCCCGCTGAGAATGTTCGTCCAGCCAACCAGTGTGTTGTGACCCCCTTCCCTGACTTAGCACTTTTGCAAAGTCTTTGCGCTTTGAATCTCATTTCTAAATGATAGAAATTTGTGTGCTCTAGATCCTAAAACCTGAGCCAAGTTAGGGTTTTCTGCGTTGGGTGGGTGGGAGCATTTTGCATAGGAAATGTGAAATACGAGAAGCATCAATCACCCTTTCGGTGACTTGGTTTTCCTGGGAAAGCTTAGGGTAGTCAGATTAATGCCCACTGTCCTCTTTTGCCAACAGAAGTCTGCTTTTCTTTGGAAGTGGCAATGCGCCCTGTGAGAATATTTCTCAACCTTCGTAGCAACATGATTTATGACCATTGATGGGTAGGGCTTCAGGGGAAGCTCTCTAGAGTGGGGGTGACTCAGAGGCATGTGTCCTTCGCCCTCTGTTCTCCTCCTGCCGGGAATGAGCAGGTGGATGGCGGCCATCTTGGGACACGAGGCAACCATGACGATTAAGACAATGTATCATGGACCCAATAGTGGGCTCGAAGGACCTGTGTCCCTGGTGATGACAGGACCTCTGTGTCACTTGTGGGCAGTCTATTGCTATGCTTCTGTTATTTGAGAAAAAGTAAAAACTGAATTTATTTTAATTTTTTTTGATTTCTTATCTTCACAGAAAGATACAACTCTTAGTTATAGAGATACAACTCTTACGTATAACTCCATTGCAGCATTCAGTTAATCTGAGTTAGAAGGTGGGGAAACTGAGGTTACTTTCCCAGGCCCACCTGACTGATGAGTGCTGCAGGCCTCCTGGGAGGAGGAAGGTGGCGAACCAGGTGAAAACTGGCTATGGATGACCCAGAGTGGGTCACCAGGCCTGATACCTTTGGCCACTGGATCTCAGAAAGTGGGCTGAGCCTCGCTTGGGGCTGCCCAGACAGTGGTGCCCACTGCCTTCAGCAGAAAGGGCCACGTACGCGGCCTGGCTCCCAGATCTGACCCTGCCTTCTCTGCAAGCTGCTTTCCATGGGCCCCCACACAGGTGCCCCATCAGGCATCAGGGTTCTGCTCCCCTGCCCCTCAGGGGGACATACCCTCCCCCGGGCTCTGCTTGGCCTTGGACATCTGGACCCAAGGCCAGTGCTTCTGCCTGTCCACCACGTGCCCCCTCGGCTGCTGCTTGGCCACAGGCAGGGTGAAGACTGAGAGGACCGTATTTGTTACATTTGTTAAATGAAATTGCCTTTGGGGGCCCCAACTGCCCTCCCAGTAAGCCCCTAATTAGCTGAGTCTGGGGCGGCCTTAATCACTGTTTCTGCTCTGCCATTAGGAACCGTGACATTAGCCGCCTCCCACGCCCAGGGCCCTCGCTGCCATCACTGCCAATTACTGTTCCCTCAGAGGGACACTTCCAGTGAGTCTCTGGGTGAATAAAGCTGGGGCACCCTGGCACCCTGATGACAGGTCTGGGCTGTCTGTGGGGTCCCCTCCCACATGCTCTGCAGGGACCTGGCAGAAACAACAGGGCTTGGGGTTTACGAGGTTCCCCATTGCTGTGGCATGGCAGGGCCCTCATTATCTCGTCACCCACTTCCTGGGGGTGTGCGGGCTTGGGGTCCCCCTGAACCCCCCCCCCCCAGGCCTCACCCGGCACTGGTACCAGGCCTCGGCTTCGGCTTTGCTGCGGCTGGCGATTTCGTCATACTGGGCCTTGATCTCAGCAATGATGCCGTCCACGTCCAGCTCCCGGCTGTTGTCCATCTTGACAATGACCGAGGTCTCTGAGATCTGAGACTGGAGCAGGCAGATCTCCTGGGAGGGGACACCGAGCTCAGGGAGGCTAAAGGCGGAGGGCGGGAGGAGAGGCAAGGCCCTCCGGCCTTCTCAGAGCAGATTCACGCGGGACTGTCACGGCTGTCCTGGCCTTCCAGCCACCTGCCTGCGCCTCGCCCCCACCCTCCAGGTATGGTGACCCCTGGGAGCTGGCTCCAGGGAGTCGCACTGCTCGACAATCATGCTGACTTCTTTATCTGCCCACGGCTAAGTTGCCTGAAACAGGAGCTTCTCCACCTCATTGTCCCCACGGAATTGACCTTTGCTCTGGTGCGAGGTGGGCAGCGTGGCCGAAGTTACCTCCTCGTACAGGCCTTTCAGGAAGTCGATCTCCTGGACCAGAGCCTCCACGTTGGTCTCCAGGTCCGCCTTCATCAGGAAGGCCGTGTCCACGTCCTGCAGCCAGAACAGGGACAGAGCCGTCACGGGGGCTGGAGAGATGCCTAAGTCCCCGGCCCAGGCCAGCCACCTCCCAGCAGGCTAGCGGCAGGTGACAGGTGAGCCCACCTCGCCTCACTTAGGTGAAGGGTGGAGGGGGTCCCCAGCCCTGGGACCCCACACTTGGCCCGGCCCCTCGGTGGGGAAGGGCTGAAGGGAGCGGGGTTCAGAAGCCAGGGGCGACTTTGTGGGCAGGAACACCCAGCAATCAGGGAAGCATCGAGACTGTTTTCATCTGCCGGGGTTTGAATCAGAGTGTGTGTTTGCTGTGTCATGTGGCATTAGTCATGTCCACAGCTCCTTGTGCAGGGATAGACACGGTTTCACCGGCTTTGGCCCCAGGGAGTTGGGAGGTGGAGGTCCAGGGGAGTCCGTGGGGTGTGAGGCTGCGTTTCGGGGCGGTGGGCAGCCGACCACTGGGACACGCCGAGGGGCTGGCGTCCGAGGCCAGTTGGGCCGGCTCGGGCCACTCCCGCCCCCCCAGCGCCAGCCTCCCTCACCTTCTTCAAGGCCACAAACTCGTTCTCAGCACAAGGTCGCAGGGAGAGCTCCTCTTCGTATCTGGTGGAACAGGTAGGAGACAAAGCTCTAGTTCAGCTTGTGGGGTTCGGAAGGCCTGAGGGTCGGGGCAGGCCGCCTGGTGCTGACTGCACCCCGAGAGCCACCAGCGCGGCCTGTCTCTGGGCATCTCTGTTCCAGCCACCGGAGAGGTGATCATTATCGCGGCCTCTCATTATCCACCAGGCCAGGCTGCCCCCCACCCCCGGCCTGTTGCTGCGATGGGCCCCGGGGGCGGCAGACCTGGAGCTCAGCCTTTGTCTCAGGCCCCCTTGTCTGTCGTCTCCCCTGGAGAGGGGGAGAGCGGGTGGCTGCCTGCTGCCGGCACAGCCGTCTTTTCTGAACGCCCTGAGGGGCAGCTGGGGGCCACTGGCCTCCCAGCTGACCGTGCCCTCACCAGGGGAGTTCCGAGCCTGGCCCCTACCTGCAGCCCAGACACAGAGGTAGCAATTACCCGCTTTCCCAGGCCCACACAGCCGCGCAGCGCTTCCTGGTGGCTCTGCGGGAGCTCCTAGTCCACTCACTGCTCCGGCAGTGGAATCAGGGTCAGGGGCTTTAGTCCGCTGGACTGACTCGGTTTGAAGAGCGACACTGACCTATCCAAGGCCCCCTGCCTCCTTCCTCCTGCCCGGCCCTGCCAGGCTCTGGAGCTCCCGCCCTGGCAAAGCTGGGCTCTGTCCTGCGCTCGACTGAGGCTTTGGGTGCGTGCCTCGGCCTCTCTGTTCAGTGTCATCCTCTGTAAGCAGGGTTCACGCCGACCACGTCTCGCAAGACTCTTGTGAGTTGACCTCTCGGGGTGTCAACACCTGACGGCGCGGGCCTGCCCCGTTGCGCCCCTGGCGACTAAGGGCCGGCTGGCGAGTATGTTTGGACACATCTGGTCTCCTCCTGCCCCACTTTCCAGAGTCCTCACCTTGGGCGGCAAACCATGCCAACTTGTGGGTCACCCCGTGTGAATCGCCCCCTGGGGACTGGCACCCCTCCCTGCCCCTCACGGTCTCCCACACCTTCCCTGTCACAGTCCTCGAGGTGTCTGCTCCCACTTTTCACACTCCGGCCTGTCCTTCTCTAGGGTCTATGCTGGGATCCCCTTTTAATAAGGAGCATTGGTGTGAGACATGCTGCAGGGTCCCAAGCCAATGGCAGTGTCCCCAGGAAGCCTTCCTGGGCGCTCCCTTCTGCTTTCTTGCTTTCTGGGGACTCCTGCCCCTCTCCCCTGAGGTGTGCGGGGTGGGAGGGCAGGGAGGTTTGCGGCCAGGGTGCTGTGAGGAGCCGCCAGCCTTCCGTCTCTGACGGCCGGTCCGCCCGCAGAGCAGAGGGCTCCAGAGGGCTCCGAGTAGCTCACGGCGGGCCCAGCAACGTGACCGTCCCCGCGTGGGGCAACATGACCGTCCCCGTGTGGCCCCGAATGCCTTATCTGGGCCTCAGCCTCTTGCCAGCGCTGGGCCTGTTAGCTGAAGCTCGTCATCAGCCTGCGCTCAGCCCCCTCCTCTTGCTGGAGCCAGGCTCTTGGGTGGCCCGGGGAGGGGGCAGGACAGAGGGCTGGTGGTGACAGCGGTGACAGGACGGAGGCCCGAAATCAGGGGGTGGGGGGGGGGCGGCGGAGCACGCGGGATCTGTGAGACTTCCCGGGCTGCAAGAAGCGAGAGCGGGGGAAGAGACAGGCTTCCAGAGCTTCTACTTGGAGAAACAGCCCGCCCCCGGACGCTGCACCTGTCTTCTCCCTCCCACCTCCTATACCACAGAGAAACAAAGTTGGGCCTCCCCATTCCTAGGTGGGGACCCTGAGGTCAGGGCCCCCTGGGCGGCTCGCAGACCTCTGGGGGGCTGAGACTCACTTTTTCTTGTAGGTCTCCAGGGAGTTCTGGAGGCTGCACAGCTCGGCCTCCAGCCTGGCGCGGTCCCCGGCCACGCAGTCCAGCTGCCTGCGCAGGGCGCCGATGTAGGTCTCGAACAGGGGCTCCATGTTGCTCTGGCAGCATCTCTGCTGCTGCATGAAGTTCCACTTGGTCTCCAGGAGCTTGTTCTTCTGCTCGAGGAAGCGCACCTGCCGCCCAGAGAGGGGGGTCACGGGCAGCAGGGCCAGGGCCAGGTTTGGGGGCAGCGAACGGCGGTAGGAGCTATGGGGTGAGTCTGTGTTCTCTCTCGAGACCCCTCAGCCATGGCTGGGGTTTACGGAGACTATGGGGGCCCCGCGTGGCCGGGCGCCTGAGCGTGTGTCTTTTCATGGCCCCGAAGTTGCCCACTGTGGCGGAAAGAGCATTTCCTCGAGCAGCCTGGCCGCCTTGCCTAGGGGACCAAGCCAACCTCCCCTCCGAGCCTCCCCGGTTTCCTGGGGCTCCCTCTTGGGGCCGGGTGTGGGAGCACTTTGAAAGTCTCTTCTGTGCGGCTGGCCTCAGAATGGGGGCCTTTAATTAATTAAAGACGTGGAGGGAGGTCAGGTCCTAGGACTCTGGCTCTGTGTCCTGCCCAGTTGGCTCCCAAACAGTGACCCCCCATCCCCTGCCTTGGGCACCAGGATCAGGAGAGCTGAGGGGCTGATGGCGTCACCCAGGGGCCCTGGCAGAGGGCAGACCCTTGCCTGCCCTGGCTTCCCTGTATCGTGTTGTCTCTTAAGAAAACTCTGGAGGAAGTGAGGCCTGCAGCCACATCACGGCAGGTGCGGGCTGGGGTGGGGGGAGCCGCTGGGATGACTTCTGTTAGAACATCCGAGATTTACAAATAAAACCGCACTGGGAACAGTTCCCTCGGCTAACGCAGACCCTTGAGGGCCACTTTGGCGTATAGTAGCTCCTCCGAGTTTCCTGCCACCCTCAGCACAGCCCCCGCCCCAGGCTGCAGGGTGCCGAAGCTGAGCCATGAGTGGTTTGCACGGGGCTTTGGGGTAACTGTCAGTGGAACCGACCCCAGTCGTGGGCTCCTGACTCTTTGGCCCAAAACTTTGGGCCACCAGCAGCATTGGCTCAGCCCTTGGCAAGAATCCTGCTCCCCTAAGGAGCCCTGGGGGGTGGGAACAGGCCCGGAGGCTGCTGAGGGGGACGGACCAGCAGCCACCAGGCCTGTGCCTCTGGGACTGACAGAGGTAAGACTTTGGTCCATGCCAACTGCGCCCCCAGCTCTGACTGCACCCCCCACCTCCCCCCCACCCCGCTGCCTCTCATTCCAGGCCTAGGGTGATGGAAAATTCCAGGTCACAGCGCCCATCCTGAATCTGGACCAGGGCCTTGCCCAGCTCGGCACTAGGAGGGCAGCCCTGGTAATGGCCTCCTCAGAAGGGCAGCTCTCTGCCTCTTCGGGTGTCCCTTTCAGTACCTGTCATGCCCTTCACAGGTCTCCTGGCTATCTGGGCCTGCATAGCTTGGGAACTCTAGCAGACCACCCAGAAAGAGCGGGTAGATCAAAAGAGCAGGACACAGGCACAGAAAGTTTACGGCCGGGCCCGACCTAACCAGCTTAAGTAGCAAGTGGCTGTCGGGCACAGAGGAGGTCGCTGGCCAGCTGCGATCTCTCTGCTGTCCCTCTCTTCCTGGCCCCTGGCCCAGACCAGGATTTTCTCTGCTCCGCCCGCCCTGGCCCACGGCCCGACCCTTCACCTTGTTGATGAACGACACGAAGCGGTTGTTGAGGCATTTGATCTGTTCCTTCTCGTCCCTCTTCACCCTCTGCACAGTGGGGTCGATCTCCAGGTCCAGCGGGACCAGCAGGCTCTCGTTAATGGTGACGGGGGTGATGCAGGCCGACGGCGCACAGGAGGCCCCCACTCGGTACCCGAAGCCAGGCAGCCCACACCTGGAGGCCACCCGGGGCCTCCCGAAGCCCACGTTGCACAGGCTGCGGGAGCCCAGGCAGCCCAGGGCACGGAGGCCCGCTCCGCCCCCAGGCCGGCAGGGGCCCTTGCTCACGGCGTAGTGGGCGACTGTCCGGGGCAGGACGGCCGAGCAGGAGCTGAAGCTCTGGGCCCCGCATCTGGAGCCCTGCTGGAAGGAGCGGAACGACATGGCGCGAGGGACGCGGAGACGGGCCCTGGCGGGAGCCTGCAGTTGGCAAGCCCGCTCGGCCTCCGCCCTTTTATCTGACGGGGATGGGGGCTGAGCTGGGTCAGACTCGAAATCGCCATTAAATCCGTTTATGAGCTTGGGATATTGGCAACTGCTAGGCACCAGGGTCGATAATTAGGGTAGCAAAGAGCAAAGGGAAGGCACCAATGGCCGGTGCCGGTGGGCCCAATAAAAATGCATCTGCCTTGTTTACGGGGGTGATGAAAGGGGCCAGGCAGGCAGGTGCGTTTGGTGTGCTCGGTGGCTCGGCCCCAAGGACAGGGGGCGTTGGGACTGGCTGCCGCTTCGCTCCTGCTGGCCTGGGGAGAGGCCCGCCACCCTGCTTGAAGATGTTCCCTCTCCCAAGGCTGTTTTCGTGTGTTTCGAAGGCGCTCCCCTAGGACCCCTGGGCTGCTAGAAGGCCCTAGAATTCCCAGGGAGGAAGACTTTGGGGTGCGACAGGCCTCCCTAACCAGGTCCTCAGGCCGGTGAGGTCCCGGGCCTGGCTGGCTGCCCCCGCCCCACGAGGCTCCGCGACAGACTCCGGCGAGAAACCTTGTCCATGGGGTGGTGCTGGTGGGGGGGTGCTCTAATAGACCATTTGGGCCCCCAAACAGGCGTTAGCTCTGGGCTCTCCGTCTCTGCTCCCTGTCTTCCCATCCAGTACCTCTCTGAGGGTGATTACAGCCAGCTTGGCCTGAGGACCTTTGGGGGTACCCTTGTTGCTCTCAGGAGCGGTTCGGGTAGATGTGGGGTTCAGACTCTCTCGCCAGCCACAGGTCAGACTCTGGATCCGTCGCCCTCCCACCCGCACCCCCTCCAGCAGCCCGATCAGCCGCGGCTGGCTACTCTTCCCCCACCCAGGTCAAAACCAAATGGTGGTAATACCAGAGCGCTGACCGCGGGCTTGCTGTGTGCGTGCATGCGGAGCTCTGACCTCATTTTTTCATTTCGTTTTTCAAGGGCACCAGTGTGTCACTTGCATTTCACGAGTGGAGCAGAGCAGGGAGGAAACTCCCTGGAGTTGCACGGCTTGTCTGTGACAGGAGTTTCCGCCGCTTCTCTCCAACCCTCACTGTGGAGAGAAGCCTCTGCTGGAGACTGGGGGTCAAACGCCGATACGCATTCTGGCTCCCCGTTCCTCCGTTTCCCCAGCACAAGGAAGCTCAAATGTTTCTTGTGCTCAGAAGTGCTCAGCCTGGGTGACCCGTGTGTACCTTTGACTTGGGGCCTGGGGGAGGTGACAGGTAGTGGACACCCCGAGCTGGGCGGCGGAGGGCGTGCAGACCCCTCCCTCAGTGTCAGGGAAAGAGGCTCCCATGTGCCACAGAGGTGGGCCCAGGAGATGGGGTGGCGGGAGAGAAGTCACCCCGGCCTGTGCCTGCTGGAGGGAGCTGCTGGCAGACCCGTGAGCGCGTGGGCTCGGGGTCCCCACCACTCCCAGGCCAGAGGCTGGGCTCTGTGACCACGAGGGCCCCCGGGAGCCCAGGGCCAGAGCTGGGGGGCACAGGTGGATTTGTGGTGGCGGGAGGCATTCCCCGAGAAACCCAGCGCCGAGGTTGCCGCCCGGGCATGAGGACACAGTCAAGAGCCAGAGAGCTCGGTGCCATTTTATTGAAGCGGTTTCGGGAAACAGCAGGCCAGGGGAGCAGGCCGCTCGGGCCGGGCTGTCGCGGTCAGTCGGGCCTTGGCGAGGCGCTTCCTCCCCCTCAGCAGAGCGCAGCAGTGGCCACTCGCCCTTGGAATGCATTTGGGTCTGAACTCACCGGCAGCGCCCGGAGGGGTCACTCCTGCTCCCCGGGAGACACTCTCCGAAGGCCAGCCTCAGCAAGCCCCGTGTCTGCCCACTGCCCTGGGCTCCTCACCCCACCTCTGCTGTCTCCCCAGACACTACACCCCATCCGAGTAGGGAGGGCCCCAGGGGCTGCGCTCCCGGCTACCCCGGGGGAACAGGGAGCTTGGGGTCTGGGCTGCAGACAGCACATCCACCCACGGGCATTTCAGGGACCGGGAGCTGGAGAGGAAAGTCAGGAGAGACCAGGAAGCTGCCCAGAGCGGGGCAGGGAGGAGAGGCTCTGGCAGCAGGGGCCGGGGGTGGACTCGTGCAGGGCTGAGGGCCTGAGCCCGCAGAGGGGAGAGGTGGGAAGGGCTTGGGGAAAGGGAGGGAACTGCAGGAGAGGCTGGCAGGGAGGGAGGCGCCCAGCCTGCAGGCCAGCTGGCCGCAGCCGCCTCCAGGCAGTTCCGAAAGAGGCCAGCAGGGGCGCGTCTGCTCCCCGCGGCCTCTCAGGCACCCGCGGGCCCTCACCTCCTGGAGGCCGCTGCGCCCGCCGGCCGGTCACTCTGACCCTGGCTCCACGAGGCGGCTTTGGAAGAAGCCATGGATTATCACACCATGGATCTTTCCAGGCCACCAGAACTTTTGGGTTCTTACTAAACCTGTCCCTTCTAGAAGGAATTAAGAATTGGCAGTGTTTTTGAAGAGTCCCATACTCTGCTGGGGGCATCAGGAACGTGACGGGAGGGGCGGGGTGTGCGCAGACAGCGGCGAGGAGGAGGCGGGTGTGGGCGGGCTCGCAGGACTCCCGGCCCCGGGGCTGCGCCGGGCAGGTGCGCACGGGAAGCCCGGTGTCTGGACTTCGCTTCTTTGGTCAGCAAGGCCAGGATCAGCCCTCGGTGAAGGACTGTGACTGAGAGGCTCTGGGTCGGGCAGGAGGAGACCCAGCCACACCCTCTACTGGGAGCTCCTGGAGGGCCGCGTCGGGGCCGGCCCGGGTGTGGACGCCGTGAGCCCTGCGGGGGTTCTGGCCTGAGGTGCGAGTGGGTGCCGCTGCGGGGCTGCCCGGGCAGAGGGAGGACAAGCTGGCTTAGACCGCAGCCCTGCCCGGGCCCTGGGCCCCCTGCTGGGGGCTTTGTGCTTGGGCGAGGTCAGCAAAGCAGGCCTGAGCGCGGGGAGAGGGGCCGGCGGGGACGTCCGCCGGGAGCCGCTCAGCTCCGGTAGCTCTTCTTGGTGGACGACGTCTTGGACACGACGCGCATGCTGGAGCTGCTGCCCACGTTCCGGCTGCTGGTGGAGCTGAAGCCGCCGCCGCTGCCGCTGCTGCTGCCGTAGCAGACGCTGCTGCTGTAGCCGCCGCCGCCGCTGCCCATGCAGAGGCCGCCGCCCCCGCTGTAGCCGGAGCCGCCGGAGGAGGACACGACCGCTGCGGAGAGAAGCGCGGGCCGCGGGGTCCTCAAACTGCAGCCACAGCTGTGAGCACAGGCCGGGGCACTATGCCGCTGTGCAGCCCCCATTCTTAGAGGGAAAAGTGGAGGTGCAAAGAGACCAGGTGGTGGACCCCACATCACACCTGTGAGCCAAGGCTTCAGACTGCTGTGCTCGGCCACCCCTCACCTGTCCACCTGGGCTTCTCCTATGGGAAGTGCATGAGGCCTCACCGACAGGGAGGGTCACGGACCCCCCATTGGAGGAGGCCCCAAAACCATCCAGATGAACTCGCCTCCCCCCAGGATTCCAACTGGAACCCCTTCTGCAGCTCCGCCCAGATCTGCTCAAGCGCCTTCAGTGACAGGCGCTCGCTGCCTCAGATGTCGCCCTCCACCGCCTGCCGAGAATTCGCAGCTGCCTCTTTGGCCTCCCCGCTCGGTGTCCACTCTCTGGACGAAGCATCCCCTTCCTTGGGCATGGAGACCCCACCTTGGTTCTTCAGCGTCCCCCACGTGGTGCTGCCGAAGCCCCCTGACACCCCCCAAGAGCCAAGCTCTGGCAGCCCTGCGCCCTGCTCATCGCCCTGGGAGCTCGGTTCTTCCTGAGTAGCCCCGTCCGGGCCGTCCGGCCTCTGCTGCTGGGGGTTTTGCTGCCACTATGAAGTTGCTCTTTGGTAACCACTTGATAGTTGTGTTAGTTTGACCTCCTGGCAGAACTGGCTGAGAAGTCAGCTGCTCGGACTGGGGCCTTCACTCTGGTGCTGGCGTCCTCTGGGGCCAGGGTGGGCTCATGACCCCAGTGGAACCAGCTTGGGGGGAGGGGTCAAGATAAGTCTCTCTCCACCGCAGGAGGAAGGGCCAGACAGTGGCCAGTGCACACCACAGGACTTGTGAGAGGGCCTTGCTGATAAGCACCAGACTTCTCAGGGACACGCTCAGCTTCTCTTTCTACGACCCCCCTCACCCATCATCCCAAGACGTTTACTTACAGATGTTCACGGGTCCGACACCTTCTCCAGTGAGTCTGTTGCAGGTAAGGGAGAGAAAGACATTTCATTTGCCGAGAAGCTAAATGCCCGGGGCTCTTTGGGGTTAAGTCTCAGCACTAGGAAGCTGTCCACAGCCACTGCAGCCTGAGTTCGATCCCCGGCCAGGGAGGGACCCACATGGCGTGGTGGTGAGTGTAGGTCTCTCCACTGCCCCCCTCAGCAGCCTATTTCAGTTGATCTGCTGTTCTGCTCCCCACTCTGACTCTGGCGAATCCTCTCAATCCCACACCTCCGCTCAAAACCCAATTCTTGTATACATACATAAATAAAAATAAATCTTAAATAAAATAAAATAAGCCACCAGCTCAGAATGTGGACTGCGTGCCGGCCCTGCGCTCAAAAGACGTTTATTTATCTCATTAATTTTAGGAAGCTACTGTGAGTCTGGGAGGGGGTTTCTAGAAGGTGGTCAAGTGGGGAGAGGGGTCCTGAGGCCACAGGTCTCTCTGGTGTGTGGCTTCACTGGCCATAGGGCCTGGCCAGAAGTGGCCCTGTTACCTACCGCCTCCAGGGGCGGCCTTTCCTGACACCGTCACTCTGGTCCCCTGCCCGGGTGTAGCAGGTGGGGTGGCTGGACCCTCGCATTCCTGCCTTGGCATTTCTCCCTGGGCCTTGTGGCATTGCTCTAGTGCTCTGTGGGCCTCTGGGAGAGACTGCCCACCTGCACTCCTCGCCCTCCAGCAGCTTCCTGTAGGTGGCGATCTCCATGTCCAGGGCCAGCTTGACGTTCATCAGCTCCTGGTACTCGCGCAGCTGCCGGGCCATGTCCTGCTTGGCCTTCTGCAGGGCGTCCTCCAGCTCGGCCAGCTTGCTCCTGGCGTCCTTGAGGGCCATCTCCCCGCGCTGCTCGGCGTCGGCGATGGAGGCCTGCAGGTTGGCGCACTGGAGGGGGACAGGGGTGGTGAAAGCGCGTACGGAGAATACAGTAAGGTGTGGACTTCAGGCAAAAACTGTGGAGGAGTTTCCTGAGGTGGGTTCCATGCACGAAGACCTGGAGCGTCATCCTCATTAAAAGTACAGATGGACCCCCCCTCCCTGGGACGATTTGAGACTTAGCCAGGAGAGGGAATGTGATTTGGGGGTGCTGAGCTTCTCTGGGTGGTAAGGCGAGCCAAGGTCTTGCCTCCAGGGAACAGAGCGTTCCCAGGGGCGCGGGTGTGGCGGGTGTGGCGTGGGTCTGCCCTGAGCTCCGGTGGGACAGGTGGGCATTTACAGTCCTGCACCGTCCGGGGAGGCTTCTCGGGGGAGGCTTCTCCCGCGTGGGCTGAGTTAGGACCAGACCCAGTCTGGGGGGCCGGGGGCGTGGAGGGTCGAGCCTGGGAGCAGCCCACCTGCTTCTTCAGGTTCTCGATCTCGGCCCGCAGCCTCTGCATCATGCGGTTCAGCTCGGAGATCTCCATCTTGGTGCTGCGGAGGTCGTCCCCGTGCTGGCCGGCGGACTGCTGCAGCTCCTCGTACTGTGGGTGGGCAAGCGGGTGTGGGGCGGGCAGTCAGGCAGCGGCTTCCAGGCCAGCGGTCTTCCTGGGCCCTGCCTGGAGGGCCTCACGCGCCATCGAGTCCAGGGGCATTGCCTCTCGGCCCTGCCTGCACCCCCATCCCTGGCATCCCCCCGAGCCCTTCTTCCTGGATCGCGTCTTTCCCCCCGCTCTCGGCCCGGGTGTCTCACTCTCACATCAGGCCGGGGTGCCTGTCGCGCCCCACTTTTTAAGCCCTTTCAGTTTGTCTTCCTCGGCTCAGGGTTCTGGTCTAATTCGGCCCTCATCTCGTCCTTGTCTCCAGCCTCTGCCTGCCGTTCCAGCTGTCCGCTCTGGATCCAGGAGCATAAAGCCCCTCTCGTTCCTACCCCGTCTCTCGGCTCCTGCCAGCATGGATGGCCAGTGCTGCCCAGCTGCCCCGCATCTCTCTGCAACAGGGCACCCGAGGCAGAAGCACTGACCCCTCCCGTCTTCGTCAGACTCCCCCAGGCCCTGCGGGTGCTGCCTGAGGCGTACTCGGCCAGAGGGCCCGCCCCGGAGACTTCCAGCCCCATCAGACTGGACGCCAAGACATAAGGCTCTTACCTAATTTGCCTTTGAAATTCTGGTTCTCTGCTGCTGTTTAATAAATTTGACCTTGACCTCACCTTGCTGCGGTACCAGCTCTCGGCCTCGGCCCGGCTGCGGTTAGCGATGTCCTCGTACTGGGCCTTGACCTCGGCGATGATGCTGTCCAGGTTCAGGGAGCGGTTGTTGTCCATGGACAGGATCACGGAGGTCTCAGAGATCTGAGCCTGAAGCTGAGCCAGCTCCTGTGAAGGGGGCCACATGGGAGCTGAAGCAGGGCCCAGGGGTGTGTGCGTGTGTGTGTGGAGACCCTGTGGCGGGCCCCCAAACAGACCCTGACATCGGGGGTTTCACTTGCACTGGGAAGATATTGCTTGGGTCTGAAAGAGCCAGAAGGACATTAGAGAGCCACTGAGTTCCCAGCGGTTCTTTGCCATCGACTCCTCTGCATCAGGCGTGCAGCAGTAACTGCAGAATTTTCCAGAAGGCACTGGGGCAGAAAGGCATGCCCTGCCATGGCCTGGCTGTACTGTCGCCTGCTGAGAAAACACCGTCTTTCACACCAGTGAGGAATTCTGGTGAAAGGAAATTGAGTCAGAAGGAGCCAGAAACCCCTGCTCCGACCCAGCCCCATTTCCAGCTTCGGTCTCGCGGGTCCTTAGGCACTGCAAAGGGACACTGGCTCCACACAGCAGAAACGGGCTGAAAATTCAAGTCTTAGATCTGACCGGCAGCGTGCGAGCACCTCAGAGGGGCCAGTCACGCCTCTCTCGCTCTGCCCAGGGCTCGGACAGCCTCATGTACGCGGCAGGTGGCTCTGGAGCGGTAAGCCAGCCAGTTCGTTCCTGACGGCTGTCCAGACTCACTTAGAGCAGCGGCTCGCAAAATGCCCCCCGACAGGTGACGGAGCCACCCGCGGTCAGTCTGGGACAGGAGCAGGTGCACGGCCTGGGCAAGCCAGGTTGCAGGTAGCTGCCCGCGAGAATCCCACAGTAGCCGGTTTTTTGTTTTTGTCAACGGTACGTGGTCGGTCCAGGTGGTCAAGGCTAAATTTCTCAGCTGACCTGACCCAACAGCTGCCCTAGGGCACCTCCTTTATTCCTGAGTGGGGATACTGCACCTACTGCGTGAGTTTGGGGTGAGGTGCAGAAGGAAGACCTGGGAAGGAGGCAGCGGAAACTGCCTGGCGAAGGCCCCCCGCCCCCCGGCCATCACCACGCCCAGTGGGGGACCTCCCATGCCCTGGCCATCGGCCCCTCTGTTTACCGCCTCGTAGAAAGCTCTCAGGAAGTTGATCTCGTCCATTATGGCGTCCACCTTGGCCTCCAGCTCCACCTTGCTCATGTAGGCGGCGTCCACATCCTGGGGACACAACGAATGGTCACCACTGTGCTGCCGGCTGGGCTGCCAGCCCCTCAGCTGTGAGTGCAGCGGAAGAACTTCGGGTCTGCATTCTAGATTATGGGGTGAACTTGGAGGGGTCCCAGCTGCGAGGCCCAGGCTTGCTCATCAGGGAAACGCTCATCAACTGGCAGGAGCACCTAGGTCAGCTGGCTGACCCCTCCTGCTGCTAGGACCCTGCAAACAGGCTGGCCCATAATGCAGGAGCCTGCCCGCCCCCTCCTTCCTGAGCCTGCTGGACCATTCTGCACCCTCACTCAGGTCAAGGCCTCTCTGCCACGGCTGCCCCAGGGAGGGCTGGGTGTGATTTGCAGCTTGAACTTGACCTCCTGAATCCAGACTCACTTCTGATGAGCAGGGTACCATGGGCAACCTACTTAGCCCCTCTGAGCCTGAATTTCCTCACGCGTAAAGGAAAGCCTGCTTCCAGATGTTTGCACAGGTGTGCAAATGCAGCCGGGGGTGCCAGGTCCCCGCAGCTCCAGCAGCTGCCGGCCTGAGGGCGCCTGCACCAGGGGTCAGGAGGGAGTGTCCCGCCTCCTCACCTTCTTGAGCATCACAAAGTCATTCTCTGCCACTGTGCGCTTGTTGATTTCTTCTTCATACCTGTGGGCAGCGTCCAGAGGGGGTATGAGGAGCGGGGTTTGTGCAAGTGAGGACCGAGAGCAGGGAATACAGGGGAGCAGACAAGGGCGGGTGTCCAGAGCTGTCCTGGAAAATGGCAGGCCGCGGCCTTCCCAGGTCCCAGATCAGTGCAGTCACCATCGCTGACCCAAACCCAAAACCCCGAGCGGCGGCCCAGCAGCACCCCCTCCTCCTTTCTGCGGGTGGGGCTCCGGGCTGCCTCAGACGCCTACAGGGGCACGCCTGCTCCCTACTTCAGCCATGTTTCCTTTCTTACTCCGTGGTCCTGTCCTCTCTCAGACAAAGGGCCTGAGGACAGGTGAGGGGGGCGTCCCGGCTTTGCTGGCCCGGCACCCCGGCGCCCACGCCTTGCCAGGCGCTTGCGTTCTCTGTGTCCAGCCGGAGCCCCCTTGGCCCGCTGTGCTCCAGGTTTCCTGCAAGCAGCCCCTTCTGCCCAGGGGCCCGTAGGTGTGCCCCTGACCACTGGCCTCCGGGAAGGAAGTCTCCCTTCTGTAGGTGATCCCTCCCCACCCATCCCCCCGAAACGCCAGGTGTCTCAGCTGCTTCGGAGGGCGGCTTGCGTTTTGGGTCCTCCCCGGTGAAGCAGCCTGCGGCTACCCGTTGTCCCTACAAAGCACTAGCCCGTGCTTTGTGCGTGACCAGACCCTCTGTGCTAATACGGCCCGTAGGACCTTGCTGGCTTCGGAACTTCAGTGTCGGCTTCTCCCAGATTCTCTGGGAAACGGAAGTGGTTTTCGTCACTCTGAGCACGCACCAACTCCTAGCTATGCTTTCTGTTCCCAGCTCATCGTCCCTCTGCATCACGTGACCATGTACCAGCCACTCAATGCTCTGCAGCAGAGAGACTACTAACTAGGAGCTCGCTCGCTCCCCTGGGCCTTTCTTTCTCAAGCTTGAACACTCGCCTCCTCCTCCAAGAAGCCTTCTTGGATTGAAAAATCGATTCCATGTTTGCATAGGCAACTTAAGTTCTTCATCCGCTCTTGCTGCTTTTGTGTGTCTGCACCAGTATGCCATTCGACCTACTTGGCAACATGATTGCTAGCATGTATTAGCAGGCTTTCTGTGTGCCGGAGCATGTATTAGCAGGCTTTCTGTGTGCCGGAGCATGTATTAGCAGGCTTTCTGTGTGCCGGAGCATGTATTAGCAGCTTTCTGTGTGCCGGGCACCAGGCACCATACCAAGCATCTTCCTTCCAAGTTTTAATATAATATTCTCAGTCCTCCTCTTACTGTGAAGTGAAACTATTAGTATAGCTCTTTAGCAGGAGGACTGGAGCTAAGAGAGGTTAGTTTTCCTTAGGTTAGCTGGTATAGTTGAGCCAAGATTCTGGCGTTGTCCAACCGTCCTTGCTGTGATGGGAAAAGCCACATGCCACAACTGAGCACCTGGAAGGTGGCCGGGGTAACCGAGGAGTTGATTTTAAGTTGCATTTAATTTTAATGAATTGCATTTAAGGAGTCACCTGTGGCTAATGCTGGCACAGCTCTGAAACTTGAACTCTTACTACATTATACAACAGGAGCCAGAATTCCTTATCAGTCACTTATTATGTTTGGACCAAGATAATAAAAATCAGACGAAAAGAATACAAATAAGATAATCGCTCGTGTCGACAAGCAGACATGTGTTATCGTGTTGAGTGGTGTGGGTGTGAGTGTGTGAGTGTGTGTCAGTGTGAGTGTGAGTGTGTGTGAGTGTGAGTGTGAGTGTGTGTCAGTGTGTGAGTGTGTGTGTCAGTGTGTGTGAGTGTCAGTGTGAGTGTGAGTGTGTGTCAGTGTGTGTGAGTGTGTGAGT